TTACATTATCATAAGAACAGTTAAGATGGCAGGGTTGTGTGAGAGGTATTTACATTATCATAAAAACATTTAAGATGGCAGGGTTGGGTGAGGGGCTTGTTGGGGAAGCTCCGATGGGCCAATGACAAACACAGGCAGGGGGTGGGATACATCAGCTGGGGGGCAGGCAGGACTTCAGGCTTTCAGGCTCCAGGCTTGCATATGAGACTTGACATTCGGGCTCCAGGCTTGCATATGGAGACCTGACAGGGTTATCCTAAATTGCAGAAACAAACTTAAAAACAACTGATGAGACTAGAATTTAATAAGTGTACTGTACATTTTTTTTTTTTTTAATTTTTTTTTAAGATGGGGTTTCACCATGATGGCCAGGCTGGTCTCGAACTCCTGACCTCAGGTGATCCACCCACCTCGGCCTCCCAAAGTGCTAGGATTACAGGCGTGAGTCACCGCGCCCGGCTATTCTACAATTTTCTCACATGCATCACTTCATTTCTGTCCACTTCTAGCACTGACTTAGCTGAGGACATCATGGACTCTGATCGAAGGACCCAAAGTCTAAGTAATAATACCAGTTTCAGGGCAGGCTTTCCCTGAAACCAGGCTGGACATCATGAGAATTTTCAAGAGAATGTGCATTGCTCTGTACTTGATTTTTTTTTGAGATGGAGTCTCATTTTTGTGGCACAGGCTGGAGTGCAATGGTGCTATCTCAGCTCACGGTAACCTCCATCTCCTGGGTTCAAGTGATTCTCCTGTCTTAGCCCCCTGAGTAGCTGGGATTACAGGTGCCTGCCACACCTGATTATTATTATTATTTGTACTTTTAGTAGAGATGAAGTTTTGCCATGTTGGCCAGGCTTGTCTCAAACTCCTGACCTCAGGTGATCCACCCACCCCAGCCTCCCAAAGTGCTGGAATTACAGGCATGAGCCACTGCACCCGGCCAGTTTTCTTTTCTTTAAGACTAATCTGAAAGTGGGGAACTCTGTGTATCTGAAATGATTACATTTTGATATTGACATGAAAAAATTGTGTACTACTTTGCCCCAGTGTCCCAAACCAAAAGTTTCCTAAGGGGCCTAGGAAGTTTGGCCTTTGCAGAATAGTGGCAGCAGTGTTAACTTTGTCCTATTACCAAAAGGTGTCAAAGCTGTTACTAAACTCTGTGACAGTTTCGGAAACCCCATCAGCACTGGAGAATTCCTTATGGCCCTTCCAGTCCGTGGTCACAGTCAGAACCAGATTCTGTTGCCCTGGCCCTGTGGGGAAATCCCCAAGATAGTTGCTGATAGGTAAGGAAACAGTGTCCTGCCATGGCTTGATCCTAGGTTGGGTGAGAGCAATTGGGTCAGACAGGCTGCACTTCCTCACAGCGAGTGTTTATATACCTGTTCACACTGCGTATCCTTTCCTCACCCAATGTGAGGGCAGGGGGCTCAGTTGGGCTGAGGGGAGGACCCATGGAACCTTTCCAGGGTCAAAGCCCAGAGCTTCTATTGTGTAGTGGCCTGGGAACAGAGAACAGGAGGCGGTCAAGGCCCCAGCTTCAACCTTTGACAGTAAACCAGAAAAGACCAAGTAGTGAGGGCCTCCACTGTCCTACACCAGCCAAGAGAGACCAGGTCTTAGACTCTCCAGTGCACCTTCCTCTCTGCCTTCTTTCACAGTGCTGAATTTGGAGAATGAGCACTTCATTGTCATAGGAGGGGTAGATGTGGGCGGACGAGTGAGAAGGGTGAAGGTAGGACATAGACATTCCCACTAAGCTAGAGATTCCTGAATGGCCATAGTCATGACATGCACAGGTTGTTCTCAAATCCCAGGGCCATGGGCAGGTCTTAGATATCTTTGGAATTTTAAATTGGTTGGCATCTGCTAGTTTTAAACCTGATTTAGGTTCAGTTCAGCCAGAGGGTATGATTCTTTGGGGAGAGGGCCCTGACCTAGAAAACTACATGCTCAGTGGTCTGCTTAGCCACTAAGGGCTCTGAGATACTGGAGAATCGCTCACCCTCTGATTTTCAGAGTATATCTTTGAAAACAAAATTCAGTGGATGAGGTACTGGGTGCAAAGGTGTTGTACTCAACAGCTCTAAGTCATTGCTACTTCTAACTCACAGAGTACCTATCACAAGGATCCCACCATCCATCGTGGGTCTAAGCAGGGAAAGAGACTTTGGCAGACCATGAATCCTGTGTAAGTTTCTAGGGCTACTATAACAAAATACCACAGACTCGGGGTTTAAACCGAGATTGCACCACTGCACTCCAGCCTGGGTGACAGAGTAAGATCCTGATTCTAAATAAATAAATAAATGGGAGCACTCTGAGATGAGTAACTCAAAGGAGTGGTTAGAATTTGACATCTACCTAACAGTAGGGGAAAAAAAAAGGGGGAATAAAGGACATACGGAAATCACTGCCAGTAAGGAACAAATCTCACACCCTGGAGATTCTAAGTTAAAACATTTTGATTTGGGGAGATTTAGAGTTTTGAGCTTAAAATGACTGAAAAGCCACCAGGTGAGCCTACGTGTTTCGAGTCTAGAAGTCTGAATATAGATTCAAGACTTACGAGCATACAGAAGGTGGAGCCAAGGGAGAGATTAAACAGGGCACAGAAGTTATTAAAAATATTCTTCGGAAAAAAATCCTCAACAAAACACGATTGTTTCAGCGGAAACCAGGACATTTTCTCAGACTCCCCTACAGAGGGCCCTGATACAGTAATAAACATGTTAACCGTAAGAACCCCAACCAATTTCATAGCGCACTTTACGGTAATTACTCTCAGTATAGAGCGGATAGTCCTCTTGCAAGACCCAATTTGGCAAACTGCAGGCTCCATGTGGGGCCTCCAAAGGACACAGTGGGGCACTAATTCCTGGTTGAGAACAAAGGCCGATTTAGAGGATCTGCAGAAAGGGATGCACAGAACATGCCTCGGTCTTCCCTATGCTTGCAGCAGGCCCTCCATATACGCCGGTTCCTCAAGATCGAAAGTATCAAACAAACGAATTGTTTTAAAACCCAGTACAACAAAAGATAGTAAAAACAAAAACAGTATAACAATTACATAGCATTTGCACTGGGTTAGGTGTCATAAGGTAATTTAGAGACTATTCACAGTACACGGGAGGTTGTGCAGTTACATGCGAATCCTATGCCATTTACTACAAGGGACTTGAGCATCCCGGACTTTGGTGTCGGCGGGAGCCCTGGAGCCAATCAATCCCCCTCCGATACCAAGGGAGAACCGTTTTGCTTCTCCCACCGCGGCTTTGACTGACAGCGTGTCGGGATTCGCTGACCTCCACGAGAAAGCTCGGCAGCGTGCCGAGACGTTTTCCCAGGACCGGATCTCTCCCGGGTGAGCGAAAACAGAGCGGCTCGGTCCAACAAAACAGAGCCTAGGGCCGGGAATTACGGCGAAGCCACCCCCTCCCGCCGTCCCCCGGTGCACAGATCCCCGGCACCGCTGCTCTTGAGGTCGCCTCTCGAGTGTTCGCCTCATCGTCGGAACGGCGCCTCCTGCAAGTTTAAATAAGCAACGCTGGGAATCCGTTCGTCAGGATTAAATGCTGAGCTGGCGCGCTCCTGCCGGTCTCCGGTCTCCGTTTGCTCTTCCTGGGGCTCCCTCCAGACCTTTCTCTTAGCCCCGGTGCAATGCCTTCCGGGCGTCCCCAGACCAGACACAGGCCAAAGCCACCGCAGAATCCGGACGCCGCGGGTTGGGATCTGAATTCTCCCGGGGACTATGGCGTAGTGATGAAGGGGGAAAAAAAAAGGGTGAGAGTGAGAGGGACCTGAGAAGGAAGAAGAGGAAAACAGCAAAGAAATGACGAAATGTCGAGAGGGCGGGGACAATTGAGAACGCTTCCCGCCGGCGCGCTTTCGGTTTTCAATCAGGTCCGATAGTGTTGTATATCAGGGGAGGGCGGCCCTCGCCCTGACAGAAGCTGTCTTCCCGGCTGTAGCGATCATGTCTGGCAGAGGAAAGGGCGGAAAAGGCCTCGGCAAAGGGGGCGCTAAGCGCCACCGCAAGGTCTTGAGAGATAACATCCAAGGCATCACCAAGCCGGCGATCCGGCGTCTAGCTCGGCGTGGGGGCGTTAAGCGGATCTCTGGCCTGATTTACGAGGAGACCCGCGGTGTGCTCAAGGTGTTCCTGGAGAACGTGATTCGGGACGCGGTCACCTACACGGAGCACGCCAAGCGCAA